AGGAGTCTCACAACATTTTTATGGTGGATTTGAGAAAGAACAATCACCTCGTTAACAAATTGCCTACTCTCGGTAATTGGGGCACTTACTTTGGACTTCTTTATGGCAACCACTTGTTCATTTGACAGTATTCCTTTGTAAACAGTTCCATAGCCTCCTTCACCAATTTTTCCGCTCACATGATAATTGTTTGTGGCCTTTTTAAGTTCTTCTTCAGTAAAAATTCTGGCTGCTGTCCGAACAGATCCAGCATAACTAGCCAGTTCTTGCTTTAAAAATAAGCCACCATTGTCTTCAAAGTATTTTTGTTTGAGTTTGTTGAACTTTCTGTTCTTCATTTCCTGATATATACAAAAATTCGCAACCACTAAAACCAAGATGCTCAAAGGGATACCTGCAGAAATTAAAAATCATAGTCATAGCTGATATTCGTAATTTAATTATCACCAAAAGTCAGTTTTGGTCCCTATAGTTTGGCACTTGAACCACTTTTGACCATGTAGTTTCAATTCTGTCAAATTTTCCATTGTAGTTTCATAATTGTATTTAGGACAATTCTAATTTCCATCAAGTTATTCTAATTTCTGTCATCTATTCCAGGTCAAAAATGGCAAAATTTGAGGATTGTTCTTAAATTGCTACAGTTATGAAACTAAAATGGCAAAATTGACGAAATTGAAACTGTAGGGTCAAAAATGGTTGAAGTGTCAAACTATAAGGACCAAAAGTGACTTTTGGTCTTTAATTATTTATGTTATATATTCTTATAGTATCCTGGGGTCGGATGTGAAAACTATATTTCTAATTAAAAACAGAAATATATAGTGTATTAAAAAATCTGGTGTCTTTTTTAGCTTCAAAAGTTAGACAAAGTAATATATCTTGCCTTTGATATGCATTCGGATAATTTTTTTTTTAAAATTTGTTTCCCTACTATTTTGTTTCAGAATCATGAATAATTTACCATGCATAGCATATACTGTTTGTGTGCTGTATGGCCAACGTGTTGAATTAATTGGCTATAAAATATATAGGATGCATGCTTATATCTAAAATAGCTAGCTGGTTACATACCCAACGTAATTTTAAATGAAATTACAGAGGCAGATTTGATGCACGTAATTGCGTCCTGGTTTTTGTAGCCACTATTACATGAGCAAGAGTAATTTCCAGCTAGATTTTTGCACTTTCCATTGTTACAACGGTTCGAATTCAAAGCGCACTCATCAATATCTGAAAGAAATAAGAAAAACACATATAGATATATATCACGTATCAATTAAGAAGAATCCCGAATTCTGAGCAACAATAATTAACTACCACACGCACAAACATATGTTTATTGCAGTATACTAATTTTTCTCGTGTTGTGAGACTAGGTAGGATATTGTCAAACTCAGACTGTATGAGGTCCAGATTTACAACCTAGGGTATTATATTATAGGGAGTTTCACTAAAACACCTAAAATGGAGGTTGAAATTATAAAAAAAAACTCAACACCCAAAACACTTTATAAACACACCCAAAACCCATCATTACACACACTCAAAACCCATTTATAAACACACCCAAAAAGTTGACTTTGGGGTTGATTTTGGGTGTGTTTCTATGTTTAAATAGTGCTTGGGTTTTTTTATAAATACATGTCTAGGATTGGGTTTATTTATAAATTTGTATATATTATATGGGTATGTATAGAAAGATGGTACATATAATATACCTTGGCAACCTTGTGGGAGGTAAGGGTTCCCTTGGTATCCAGGCAAGCACTGGCAAAAGTAACCAGACGATGCAGACGTCTTATTGATGATCCGGTCGACACACTTGGTAGTTTTGTTATGGCATGGATAATCCACTCTCTTTTGAGCTGCACTACATGACTGATTCCCAATTTCCCAATTGAGAATCATTGGAAGCCTATTATTGGATTTCAGTTGTTGAAAACTTGTCTCCCCGGAGAAATTGAACTGGCCCTCTTGCACAACAAAGGCGTAGCTGCAAGGGTTAAAGCCCGTAATAAGTATATGATTGTAATAGCTACTCAATTTCAGAGTCTGATTTTTGAGTCCACTAGGGATGGAAGTTTGGCAACACCCGATGCCAGAGCAAGAGTCCTTCTCAGCGCTGTTGAGGCTGTAACACAGCGACATGCAACCGGTGATGAACCTTTCCTCATCTGCTCGGTAGCCTGTAAATAGTGCATAAGTGTCGCAAGTTCGCAACCAATGGCGATGAACTTGTTTTTGGTACTGGATATGGTGTAATTAGACAAACTGAGCCGAAAGCCTACGCTGTCATTCGTTGGCACGCCCTGCTCGTCATAACAATCTCGGGCAGCTGACAGCTCTATTTGCAGCTCACCTTCCTCAAGGTATATGTTAGTAACAGGGAGATTACCTTTCATCAAATATGCAGTTGGGGGATTGGTAGAGCTGGAACAATTGATAAAAAACTTATCGTCTTTGTAACAACCTACCTCCATGCCAAATGGAAATGGCACGGTCAGATTACCACACTGGGTTAGGCATCCTGGCCAGGGTTGAGCTGTTGCTTCAGCTGTAATTGCAGCCGCATTCCGAATATGAAATGAAATTTTAAGATTGGAGATAGTGGCAGTAAAAAAACAGTTGGTTAAGGCGTAGAATTTTTCTTTGATTAATCCTATATATGTAGATTTATAAGTAACTACTTGTCCCCTTGACATAAATAAATTTAATAGTAAATTTGACTTATACCCTTCAAATTCAATTTGCTGTACCTAAAACCCTTCACTTTTTGTTCCTATAAATAATACCCAATTTGTATAAGTAAAAATCCATGACTAGAATCCAACTCAGCAAGTTACCTAATTAAGCATAAAACATGATTTATTGTACTTTTCAGATTCCAAAAATACCCTCAACTAAGCCATTATTGCATTTTGTATATTAATGTAGAAATCAATATGGAAACAGTTTTTAATTGGATTGTATATAATGACAGATGTTGAATTTGGAAATATCTCCAAATGGTTGTAATGGATGTAGGAATTAATTTTGAAACATTTTTAAAAAAAATTTAACAATAAATTCAAATTTAGGTAATTGGTTTGTTTAATAAAATGTTTATGTTATTTTCTTTTTATGAATTATACATGACTAATAATCCACTTTATAATTGTTTATGAATAAAACTGTACATACTAATTATGTTGAAAAAATAATGTACCTATT